GTATAATTACATGACTGCATTATAGTCAATGGTATGTGAAGATATGATGTCATCTTTTCCAGGCCTGGCTCATAAAAACTTCCCACATGGTATTCCTACCTTTTCGATTTACAGCTAACTTTGTCATCTAGGGTTGGGGAAAGACTTCTTCAACAAGATCTCAAAAAATACAATAAGGTAAAAAATTAATGTATTTGAGTCCATCAAAATTAAGCATAGAAAGAACTAGCAAATACACGAAACACTGGGAGAAAATATATGTGACACTTAAAACCGACAAGGAATTTGTATTAGAATATATTAATACAAAGAACTGAAAACCAACAGGGCCAGAAACACAGTAGAAAACTTGGCAAAGGATATAAAGAAGGAGTTGATTTGGGCAGAGAAGCCCAAACAGCCAAAATGTAGAGAGAAGGTCAATCTCACTAGTGATCAGAGCTATGCAAATTAGAACAATGAACTTGACGTCAATATGGCAAAACTTTTTATAAAGACATATATTAATAATTCCAAGCAGTAGGTGGAAATAGAGAGACTGGAAGGCTTAGCTCTGCTGGATTTCACTCCTGGGTAATCATCCCAAAGAAATTCTCACACAGTTCTATAAAGGAAAATATTCAAGAATACTCACTGTGGCATTTACGCTGCATGGGAGTTGGAGGCACTGTCCATGCCACCTTCTAGTGTGCATTCCTGTATGACATAGGCTGGAAAGCTAAAAACTACATTTCCCAGCCACCTCTGCAGCTAAAGTTCTGGAGGAGATTACGTTCAGTCAATCATATGCATTCCTTTGAGACCGGGAAGGCAGAAGTAAGGTGATCTACTAACTTCTCCCTTTCTGCTGGCAAGCATTGTTGTGGAGGGGTTTGATTTTACTGTGCTAGCATTAGCAAAGGTTACAGTGACAAAGCACTGACTGGTTGTGAAGAGGCAGAGTGCTGGACAACTCTTTTTCCTGGGGTAGATTGTAGCAGGTATAGTATGTTTCTGGAAAAGCAGCAGTAAGCAGCTTCTTCCTGATCAAGGCAGTCTCAGGATAATATTCACGTGGCTACTGATATTAGAAAGCAGCTCTCTCAGTGGCTCTTGAGAGTCTTTCCTCAGAGTTCAACCTGAGGAAACACTGTCTATTTTCTTCTGCATTCTCAATGATTCTGTTCTGTTTAAATTAAAGTAGATTCTCTTCTCTGCATCTAAACCAAAGCCTGGTTCATTCTACCAGGACGCCAGAAGTTTGTTAATATCCTTCTACGTTTTGCAAAGTTCGCTTGCCATTAAAATTCCATCTCAATTGTTCCTTCCATCAGGCAGATCCACCACCTCCACTCTCTTCTCTGTGCATCTTTCAGTTTTGTTTTGTTTTTTTTTTTCTGTAGGGACAGGGTCTTGCCTTGCTGCCTAGGCTGGAATCATAGCTCACTGTAACCTGAAATTCCTGGACTCAAGCAATCCTCCTGCTTGAGTCTCCCAAATAGCTAGGACTACAGGCGTGTGCCACCATATCTGGCTAATTTTTTTATTTTTTGGTGAAGATGGGGTCTTGCTATGTTGTCCAGGCTGGTCTTGGGAACTCCTCACCTCAAGCGATCCTCCTGTCTGGGCCTCCCAAAGTGTTGGGATTATAAGCATGAGCCACCACCCTGGCCCTGCATCTCACAGTATTTTACATTTGTTTTGTAATTACTTGCTTATCTCTCAGTCTTCCTTTTTTAAATATGAACTCTCTGAGGCCAGAGATGGGATCTTACTCGTCTTTGTAATCCTAGCTTCTAGCATTATAGCCATGCTCCCTCCTTTCCATGCCTTCGCCGTGCAGGGGAGCATGTGCTGTACCACTGGCCCAAAGACCCTCCTACTTCTTTTCACCTAATTAACTCTTACTCATCTTTCTGATTTAGCCGGATCATCTTGAGGTTGATCTATACTGTTCAGTATAGTAGCCATATGTAGCAATTTAAATTTAAATTAAAATATAAAAATTAGTCATAAATCATGCTAGACACATTTTAAATAAATGCACACATAGCCACCATATTGGAAAGCACAGAATATAGAACATTTCCATCATTGCAAAAAGTTCTTGTTGGAGAGAATCAATCTAAATAGATTAGGGCTCTGCAATTTACATTCCTGCAATATCTTGTATAATACTTTTCTTACATAGCACTTATCAAACTTACTAATGAATTTATGTCTGTCTTCCCCACTAAATTGTTGGTCCCATGAAGACAGAAACCATCTCTGTTCTGTTTTCCATAGTATGCCCAGTGCCTAATACAGTACCTAACAAATAATGGACACTAAGTAGATATTCGTCAAATGACAAATGAAGTTATCTTCTAATAAACACAAAAATTCTATTCCTTGCAATTTGGGATCCAGACTAGAAATATGATTAGTGGGTTTATGTAAGGACGAATGTTTCTGCATTCAAGTTTGAGGCCACTTTCTGCCTTTTTTAGCTGAGTATTTCATTTCCTTTCCTGAAATGAAGAGGACAACAGTGTCTGGCTAGCGAAGATTTGGGAACCCAGTACTTTGTTAATACTATAATAAAAGGATGATATTCAAAATATCAAGATGTGAAACATATGATTTTTAAAAACCATATTGTATTGTTCTACCTAGTCTTAACCAATGTAAACATTTGAGTGTTATACATAACCAAAAAGACATACTTGTAACAAGTGAGAGATATTTAACTTCATTTATTTAGAATTATGATCACCAAATTTTTATTTTACATTGTAAGGTGGAAGAGAGATTTATAGGTGTGATTTTATTCTTTTATAAGTTATGCAACAACATACTTTAAAAAGAATAAACAATAGAAATAGGACAATTAAAAGAGCTCTTAAATGAATAAAAGTGAAATCAAAATAATCAATTAAAATTGCAGCTATCATGGCTAACAATGGATTACATGTAGTTTGGTAATATTAGAAATATTGGCACTCGGTAATCTCAACAGAGCTTTGAAAAATTAGCAGCATGTAATATTGTTGCCCTACACTGTCTCGAGCAGTGCTCTGACCATATCGGTTTTCACTGGGATTTAGCTTTAATTAATACATCCACATCAGCTTTGTCTGCCTCTCCAAGACTTTTTTGATGGCTGTCAACCAGGACATTGTCTTCCTTTTTTCGAGGCTTCTGGGAACCACCATCTCTGGGAGCCAGAGGAGCTCCAAGGGCAACAAAATTGCGCACATCCTGCAGTTTCTTACGCAGCCATTCCACTCTCTCCATTGAGTTCAGATGTTTGCCCAGGTTGTGCATAAACTGTATTTCACTCACAGATCTCTTCCTGGGAAGAACAGAAACAGAGAGGGCCACTATATTAGCTCCTCACTTCCAAATCATAAAGCCCACCTTAGAAATCCAATTTCCATGCCTTCACCGCGCAGAACAGTACTTACTTAACAGGTATCCCATCCGATTTGGAAAGAAAACAAATTGCCAACATGACAATCATTACTTTAGCCATGTCTTTTGCAGATATCATCTTTACTAAAAGGAAAAACAGAATGGAGGTATTTAAAAATATTTTTAATATTTCAAACTTTGTAAATAAATTTACAGTAGTTTTCATTTACAACTATATAACCATGAACAGAGTGTAACAGTAGCTAATTGGGTTGGTTTTCATGACAGACTTTTGGAATTAGCCTCTTTATTTTATGGATACATTAGTATATATTATATATACACATAATTTTACTTTAGGGATTGGACAGATTAGTTTTGCTTTAGGTATCTTTTTGAGGTTTCTTGTGCAAATTTTAATATATGAATCTTAAGCCACAAGAAGAATAAAAAAGCTTACTTTTGAGAATTTCCTCCCACATTTTATGTTAGTTGTGCTTAAATGCTTATAATTTGCTTGAAAATGGCTAATTTTCTTAATTAGGTAAATTGTTAACACTGTTTATTTACTTAGCAAATCTTTTTCATGTGTAAACTTCCTTTCAATCACTGCAATTATAACCATAAATACCAAATTAATAAGCTATGATTTACAGCTTTTTACTGAATTAACACATACCTCTCCTAGCACTAAAAAGAATGTATCAAAACATTTAAAAATCATCTAACTAATTACTTGTTATATGAATTTTGAGCTTCAGCTCTAAATGAAATACTTGTCTGCATCTTGTTTCTTCAACTTATTTTATAAACAATTGCTTTTTCATGTAATTTTTGGTTCTTTCTTTCCTCTTTTGCTCATAAAGCTTTTCATATCAATATAGGATATTTTTGCCTTAATTTGCATGGTGATAATTGCTAAGGCTGTTATTACAGAAGTGCTTTGTCCTAATGCTCAATGTTCTACCTTTTAACATACACAGAGTGGTCATGTACTTATTTTGAAGGGAAGCTGCATCATTTAGAAGTAGCATAATGAATATTATAATCTGTTACATTTCTGTTCACTCTACAATATAAAGCTATTGATGGAGCAATAAATGAAAATTTCCTTTTTCACTTTATGTTAGAAACAAGCACTGTAGTCAGAGGACAGGAACACTAGTGTGTAATCCTCATTGTGTCACATTACCTTAGTGACCTCAGACATCTCTGCTTTGCCTACTGGTTAGCAGGGATGCGCTTCTTATAAGAGAAACACCCTTAAAATTCATATAATACAATTTTCATGAAATACGGTTTTCAGAACAGAAAATAGAAAAGGCTGTCACTTATGTAAAGGGAATAAATACTTAGCAGCCAAACTGAGTTTATCCAAATTTAGTATAGAGACTGAGCTCTCTTATAAGCCATAAAATAAACAATCTAGATAAGAGTACTCTGCAGGAAAAATGGAATTTTAACTCTACTTAATTTATAGTGATAATTTAAATCAGAACTATTCATTCACCATCAGCCTGTTTTATTTGGAAACTTCTATAAAGATACTATTAAAGTACATCATACCAAATTTTAATTATTTTTCCTGCAATTTCAGATGAGTTGTTAAAAAGCAAGGTATCTCAAAAGACTTTAATCACAAAAATAAACGATTTATGAGTATTTTAGTAGCACAGATTTATTTTGCATTGTGGCATTTTATATTAAACATAATTCAACTCCCTTAACATTTTGCCTTGAACAAACAGTGTATTTGTAGACTGTGTAATGTACACATTAAATAATTACTTGATTATCAAGAATTTTATAAAATTTAAAAGAGAATTTTTAAGATTACTTACCGTACAGTATCTTGGGACAAGATCTTCTTTCAGGTGTATTAGTAGTCGATGTTGATTGAGTAAACTAGAGAAAGCTGATGAATTGGGCTGCAGACCCTTAAATGTGACTATTATATATAGGTCTTCTGCTCACCAAGAGAAGCTTTTTTATTGTTGCAGATGATGTCACTCCAAATTCTCTGGATCTCAACTATAGGATCAAAGCAGCACAACACCCCCATTGGGCGGCACCCATTCCTCTTAAGTTTTAGATAATTGGATACTAAAAGGAAAACAGTATGTGGCTGGGAAGAGAGCCTATGCAAAGATTTTTACCAAATACTGAATTGTACCACCTAGAAAAATTCTAACCAGATTGATGAATCTAAACTTATACTGTAAAAAGAATGATTTTAAAGTTTTATAATAGAGTCATCATTTTACTTGAAAGTAAAATCTGAAAATAAGTATATTTATTATAACCATACTATTAATACAATTATTATGATAATAAGTCATATGTTATGCATATTTTACAAGCCATTTTTAACCAATCCGGATCACTTCTGGTCATCTTTAAAAAAATAGATATAATGCTTTTCTTAAAGGAAGTGTTAAAAGTAATTTGAGAAAATTCTCTTAGTACAGAATTAATTTTAAAAGCTTCGAAAATGAAATTACTTAAAAATTCATTTAACTTACATTTTATTTGCACATTTTAATCTGTAATAATAACATTTGAACTACATGCCAGACTTTACATATATTATTCCACTAAATCTTCATAGCACTCCTTTAAAGTAGGTACTATTATTATCCCCATTTTCACATGAGGAATCGTAGGCTTGGAAAGTGGAGAAGATGAAAATTCAACAAAGATCATTATGACTCCTGTGCCATTTTGATTTTTACTACCTCTGTTTTCCCCTGAAAATACAGCCCCTCTCCGAACTTCAGTCTTTTTGCTTTTAATTTGCCTAGCCCTTTGCAATCTCTTTGCCCAGGGATTGGTTCTTAATTCTCATGTTCTTCATCTGATGATTGAGAGCCTGCTCCAAAACCTCATGGAGACATGATGCTGCCACCTGTCTGATTCCAAATATTACTACAGTATGGTCCTAAGCTATCAAAATCTCTTGAAAGCCTTTGATATATTAGGGCTCATTTATGTAGCTTTGCCTTCCAACTAAAGATCCATTTCCAGAGTTAGATCAGTTCTCTTAGCTCTGGTCTCACCCAGGCTTCATGTCATCCCCTTTCCTATTCACCAATGCCAAGGTTTGACTCTACCTCAAACAAGAGCCAGTAACAGTTTGAACAGTAGCTATATGCAGTCTAGAATGAGAGATATATTTCAGTCCTGCTCTGGGAAATTTTCTACACCAGATAAATCTCGCTTGGAGTATTGCTCTAGGCTCCATGTTAGAAATGTTAGAGACAAACTGGAACATGTCCTGAGGATGTAAATCAATTTGGTGAAAGTGTGGAAAAACAGGACATATGAGAAGCAGTGAATGAAACTAGAAAAGTCTGGAAAAGAAAAAACATGGGATGACTGTATAGCTGTATTTAATTATTTATAGCGCTACCATAAGGAAGAAGGAGTATTCTTTGTGGTTTAAGAAGGAAGAACTGCGTTCAATGGCTAAAGACTACCAGGAGGCAGATTTAGGCTCAACTTGGACATTATAATTGTCAAAATAAGGAAACAAGTACCTTCTTAAATAGTGAGGTGCCCCATCACTGGAAGTATTCAAATAGAAGGTAGATGAACAATGAGCACTGATCAGGGATATCATAGAGATTAATACACAGAAGAAGGTTGAATTAGATAACCAAGAGGTCCCTTTCAACTGTAAAAATCTATTATTTTCATCTTTTT